ACAATTTTCTCTACTGCTCAGGCCCAATCTTTCTTTTGCCAGCTTCTCCTGCACTCCTAAAATTTGGTCCCATTCTATTCACTATATGGAAAGATATTTGATTAACCAATGAATCCAGAGCCCTTTAAAATAATAAAACGTAATGACGGGCTCTATTTAAAAATTGATTTAAATTCATGTAGTTTGTATATCTGAATAACCCGACAACTTACCAAATTATTGTATTACATCCAAAAAATAGAACACTGACCCTTATCAATACAACATGAAGTATTACTAGCATATAATAACAAATTGGTGTTCCATTTCATCTAAAGCAATATTCCAAAATTTAACAAAACAGATTGAATTCTGCATGAAAAAATAGACATCCTTGACAATAACTGATGAATCAGAAAACCAGATTTTAATCCAAAACAAGTTAGAAACCTTGCTTTATAGGAAAAAGATTTTGGTTAAACTGAGAGAAGAATCTCGCGATATTTATAAGATAATTTTGCTAATGGATTCAATTAATTGGAAAAAAGAATACATTTTTCCTTGCAACGGGTTTTACAGAATACTAGAATTGGAAGGGACCTTGCAAGTCTTCTAGTCCAACCCCCTGTTCAAGCAGGAGACCCATTCCAGACAAGAGAGACACCAGGGAAATATTCTAACTGTGGGAAATGTTCTTGTTTGGATTTGACAGAGGAATGGACCAGAATTTTGATTTGATTACTTCTAGTATCTATGTGGTAGGATTGATTTATTTGTGTTTGTTTGTTTATAGACAATCTATATGGCTACCCATCTTGAACAAGCAACTGGCCAATTGGGCAATAAATACTGTATATAAAACATGTTATAATACAGTGGTGGCAAACCTATGGCACGGGTGCCAGAGGTGGCACTCAGAGCCCTCTCTGTGGGCACGCGTGCCGTCGCCCCAGTCCTACGCCTTCAGCTGGGTTTTATAAAACCTTTTCACTTTAGACCTCCACCACCGTGTACAAAAAAAAAAGGTTCAATCAATCAGTCAATTTCAACTTCTCGCGGGAAAAAAAAAAGATCTTGCAAAGTTGGAATTGATTGATTGAACTTTTTAGTCCCACCCAGTCTGCTGTTACCACCGCAACCATGCCCACCCAATGGGCCACACCCACCCAATGGGCACACCCACCCGGCACCCGACAATGCGTAAGTGGGTTTTGGGTTGCACTTTGGGCACTCGGTCTCTAAAAGGTTCGCCATCACTGTTATAAGAAATTAATTTTAAACTGTGCAAAATAGAATTACAAATAATCATCAAACTAAAACTCAAGATGCCTCAAAGCAATTTAGATACTAACAGGTAAATCAGATTCCACAAATGTCCAGGCCCTAACACCTGAGAAAAGAGCCAGATTTTCATAGCCTTCTAGACGGCTAGTAGGGTCAGGGCTATTCAAAGGGCAAGGCTGTTCCAAAGGGCAGACATTATTACAGAAAAGACGTGTCTCCTAGAACATGCATAATGTCATCATTTCAGAGAGGTAAGTACCTGGAGGATTCCCATCCTGCTAGACTGAGTAGAATGCATTGAAAGCATTGGATAGCCCTGCTTGCCCTTTACTCCCTCGCCCTGGACTATGCCTTCCTCTCCACAGTCAAAGAGCCCCATCCCAACTGCACTGAGCCCATTAACAGGTGGGATACAGCTGGTGCACACACATACACATAAGCAATCTGAGAGTGTTTTCATAGTATTCTGCACCCATAAGCTTGGGATATCTGCCAACTTCTTACTCCACACTCAAACATCCTCCCCCGCACACCATCGCCAGGTGCTGAATGCTATGCTTAAAAATTAAGTAAAGGCCACAGATTAACCACTCCTATATTAGACAAAGATTTTTTCTCTCATTCAAATCTCCTGAAACAATTTTGAGTTGCAGGTGCACCTGATTGAACTTTTTGCATGTAAAGTTATGGACACAAGCTTTCTACACAATACATTGTGGTATCCTGAGATGCACTTCAGCATTGCTTGTGACAGGAAATGTAGGCCAAACCTGGAAAGGAGCCCCTGAGTCAGATATAATCAGATTAGTGTACAGAGAAAAATAAAGTGATATAATGAAGCACCACTTCATCTGCATGTATAAGGTATTGCCTTGAATGTTTCAAAGAAAATATATTGCAAACTATAAGCTAGAAAATGAAGGAGAAAGGTTCTAATACTTATGTGCTGCTTTCCTATTTACAGAGAAAATTTAAATTGGGAAGAATTCAACATTTTGAACTCCTTTATCTAGAGTGTACATTTGTACATTCTGTTTCTTATTCCATTCATTCTCATCTATTAACAGGCACATGTCACATCTCTCTGGAATAAAGTCAGTTCTTTTGAGCTACAAGATCAATGCACAAGGCCTGCATTCAAGATACAAACCATCAGACAAGTTTTGGGCACTGCAACAGTGCCTATTTAAATGGGAGAGCACTCTTTTCTATTTACCTTGCCTTTCCCTGATTCTAGATTGGTTGCTTACAGCTTCAGGGAGCTGTCCATGCCACAGCAGCTGGTAGCTTTGCTGGGCTCTTTTCTGCCCAGGGGGGAAAAAAGTATGGGGTTAGATGACAATACCTTGGACCCCAATGCAAAGGGCCTGCATTGCAACAGCTCAACTGACCAATAGGTCCCCTAACCAAACAGCTGCCAGTATGGTCACCCGTTTGGTTTGTTATTTATATGTCCATCTTAATTATTAAGACATCAATTGTTTCATTTATATATCCTGTGCATTATCTTTTTCCATATCATTCTTGTGGTCTGACACTTTTAAAACCAAATCAGGCTTAGTCTTGACCAGTAAAACTTGTTCTTCTTCCATATAATCTTTTAAACATAGGCTAGCTATAATAGATTTTCTCCCTGGCAATCTATCCCTAATTAGTTCTTTCAAGTCTCCCAACGGAGCACTTACCATCACTGTAACTGAGTCCATCCACTTTGTTGCTAGCTATCCTCCTCTTTCCTTTCACCTTTTCTAGCACTAGAGTCTTTTTCCAAAAGTTGTGCCTTCACATAATGTGTCTGAAGTAGAATAATTTGAGCCGAGACATTTGTACCTCTGAGTTGTTCAATGATCCATGGGTTCGTTTTCTTGACTGTCCATGGTATTCTCAGAAGTCATTTCCAACACCAATGTTTAAAGGTGTCAATATTCTTCCTACACTTTCTTTGAAGTCCAAGTACCAGTATTAAGGTAATTTGTTTCTATTATTCTTATATTGTCCAAGGTTAACTTCAAAAGGTGTGGAAAATTTGTTAAACTTTGTTACCTATTACTTTGGATGAAATCAGATGACTAGAGTGACCTAAAACAGGCAATGGATGCAGGACAGGGGACTGGCAAATTTCAAAAGGCAGAGCTTTCTCCTGACTCAATGATGAGCAGAAAGCATTTCAACTCAGCACTTCTTCAAGGTACCCTTCTTCCTGCTTGCCTTGGCTTCAATAGAACAAGGCTTTTTTTATGTAGCCTATGAGGAATTCTCTCACAGGGACAAAGGAATTGACTGACAGAACTGACTCCTGTGTGCTGGATTTCTATTTTACATATAATTTTCCTTTCTGATCAGCCCGTTCACAATTTTCCTCAAATTAATACTTACCAGATGTTTAGGACTTGGGTTGTTGGGAGTCCAAAACATCCGGAGGACAGAGGTAAAAGAGAAAAAATATTTTAACCTACACTGCTCTCTGCTTATCTTTCAAATTGTAAGTTATCACTGAAGCAAAAAAAGGATGGCACCATTGTAGCTCAAAATGATTACTGCCTTTTTTGCCACTTCAGGATTCTATCACCTCATTCTCTCCTTGTGTAGATATAGATCCTCAGCTTTCAGTAGGGCAAAAGGCAAGTAAGGGCAGTGCATCAGTAGAAGGTACTACTTGCAGCACTTGAAGGACACCCAAGTGTGATTTTGCAACACACTCTGTGGCAGGATGATGCCCCTTATTTCACCTCTCCCTTGTACACATTTATTTGCAAGTGTAGTTCTGAGACTCTGCAGATCAATGCAAACAAACAAGCCGTCACATTTCCCATCTTAGAGACAAGATTCTACTAATGGGTGTTTGGCTGGAGCTTAAAATTAAGAAAATAGCTCTTATTATTCCTGCTCCTTAGGCATCGCCCTATCTTGAAATAGGACCATTAAACCTAAGATGAAAAAAAATAATGAAACATGGTATTTTCATGAATGTTCTGGTTAATGGGTGCAGGTAGAGTTGGCTTTAAGCTAAGGCTGAATAGGTACTAGCCTAGGGCACCAAAGCTTAGGAGTGCCAGCACTATGCCTCCTGGAGTAAGCTCCCATTCCTCATGTTCCAATCATATCTTT